ATGTCCCCATAACTATTTTATAAGCACGTTATTCAAAATGGGCCAAAAGTCAAACAACCCAAATGCCCATTGGCTGTTAAAAGGTTAAATCAAATGTATATCTATGCAAAGGGACAATTTCAGTCAAAAGGAATGAAGTGCTGGTGCATGGTAAAATATGAATGAATCTTGAAAACATTATGCTAAGGGAGGAAGACAATCACAAAAGACTACCTAGATAAAATCAGGAGGAAATCCATAAAGCCAGAAAATAGGTGGGTGTTTACCAATAGCCAGAAATAGGGAACAGTTGTTAGAGGGACTGGCTGGCATGTGGCTCAGTGGTAGAGTGCTTGCCTTGCATGCATGAGGCCCTGGGTTCGGCTCCTCAGTTCCCCACACACAGAAAAGGCTGGAAGTAGCACTGTGGCTCAAGTGGTAGGGTGCTAGTCTTGAGTCAAAGAAGCGCAGGGACAGTACCCAGGCTCTGAGTTCAAGCCCCAGGATTGGTGTGAGGGAAAAAATAGGGAGGGACTGTATAGGAGTACATGCTGCTTTTGGGAGGTGGTAAAATGGTTTAAATTTGTGGTGACAGTTGGTTACACAACTTGGTGGAATATTGAAAAACACTAAGGTTAAACCCTCAAATATATATATATATATATATATATATAGTCGATTGTGGGGCTTGAACTCTGGGCCTGAATGCTGTCCCTCAGCTCTTCAGCTCAAGGCGAGCACTCTACCCCTTGAGCTACAGCACCACTTCCAGTTTTCTAGTGGTTTATTGGAGATAGGAGCCTCACAGTCTTTCCTGCACAGGCTGGCTTCGAACCTTGATCCTAGATCTCAGCCTCCTGAGTAGCTAGGATTACAGGTGTGAGCCACTGGCGCGCCAGGCACCTAACTTTTTTAAAGTCTCTTTTTACTGATAATTGAAGTCAATAGTATAAGCACCAGAGCACTGATGAACTTTATACATAGATCACATGAGCAGATTGCCCCCTTCTGGCTGAGACAAAATAATTGCAATAAAGGAAACTGATTGTAATTTGATCACATTCTTGTATTTTCTGACAAGCACATTAATAGATTTTAAATTCCATAAGATCTCTCTATCGCATTTCTGTGAATCTCTATTATATACACAAAAAGCTTATGAACTGTGTCTAAAGGTTTATAATGTTTATGTTTTAAAAGCATGCTGCAAAGGAGTGACACTGTCCATGAAGAAATGTACTCATTACCTGACTTACGTAACTGTTTTACGTAACGTCACTTTTTTTGGGGGGGTGGGGTCCAGTTGTGGAGCCTGAACTCTGGGCCTGGGCACTGTACCTCAGCTCTTCAGCTCAAGGCTTGCGCTCTACCACTTGAGCCACAGCGCCACTTCCGGCTTTTTTCTTTTTTTTTGCTTATGTGGTGCTGAGGAATTGAACCCAGGGTCTCATGCATGCAAGGCAAGCGCTCTACCACTGAGCCACCTTCCCAGCCCTGTACATCACTTTTATAATAACAATTGTAAAACACTTAAGCATTTTGCAATATATGCAGTTTTGTGAAAATACATTCTCGCATAGAAAAAGACCTAGGAAAAATGATAGCAGAAGCTTGCTTGTTTTGTTTTGGCAATACTGGCATTTGAATTCAGGGTCTCATGCTTCTCAGGAGTTCTTTAAGGATATCAGAATCCTTGGTAACATTTAAAATAGTTCAGGAAAATTCTTTCTTTCTCTCTCTCACCTTCCCTTCCTCCTCCCTCTCCTTCTCTCTCTCCTTCCTGTTTTCCTCTTCCCTTACCTCTCTCTCTTCATTTCCTTCTCCCTCCCCCTCTCCTTCTTCCTCTCTTCCCCTCTCTCTCTTACACTATAAATACAAAAAGGTTTTGATAAAAGTAGGAAGAATATTCCTCTGCATCATTGGTCAAAAACTAGAAATTAATCTTTACATGGCATTTATCTCATAGTGAGCTCATAATCTAGAAAATATCTATTACTTTATCCATCCAATCGACTTGATGACAAACAATCATACCAACTCTTCTAATCTCACCTCTGCAAATTCTCTCAAACTTGAGCCAGAGAGACCTCCTCTGGAGATGTAAGAAAAGTTCAGTCTAGAATCTGAATTTTAGACTATGCTTGAACAACTCCAATAAAGAAGTCTCTTTCAAAACACTTTACTTAGCATCTTTCTTAGAATGTAGCATAGTTATGCCAGCCAACCACCAGAGGCAACACAATCAGCCACACTTTATAAAACGACGGGAATCAATTTTCACCAGAATCATCAAAAAATAGAGAGCTAATTACTTGGGTCAAATCCATCTGGCCCAATTTATCTTGCTTGAAAACAAAAGCTGTTCAAGAAAAGTTTTGTTGCAAAATTAATTTCTGCTTCAATAAAGTGTTAGTGGCAACAATTAAGACATTAACTCTTATGATGTAAATTTTTATCTTTATAGCATCTCTTTAGTATGAATATTGACTATTTTAAATATAGACCATATAAATTATAAATAACATGTACACACAGGATATACTATAACCCACAATTGTCTAATCATCCTCATTCATATTTAACCCTACCTATAGCTTCACAATAAATGATCAGGATCTAAAGATATGCTCAAATCCTGTGTTTGCAGGAACAATACAGTCATAAAGGCAGGAAATAAACATAAGTATTGACAATGCTAACCTACAAAAAGTACCCTCAAAAATGTTTTGTTGCCGGGTGCTGGTGGCTCACGCCTGTAATCCTAGCTACTCAGGAGGCTGAGATCTGGGGATCGTGGTTCAAAGCCAGCATGGGCAGAAAAGTCTGTGAGACTCCTATCTCCAATAAACCACTAGAAAACCAGAAGTGGAGCTGTGGTTTAAGAGATAGAGCTCTTGCCTTGAGCTGAAGAGCGCAGGAACAGTGCCCAGGCCCAGAGTTCAAGCCCCACGGCCAACAAAAAAAATAAATAAATAAAATGTTTTGTTGAAGAAAAGTACTGAATCCTTGGGATCATGGCTATGGACTAAGCCTTGCTTAAGAAAGACTGAGTCTGGGTAGGCATAAAGGAAAAAGGCTATTTTGTAGTGGAATGTATTGTGAGCAAAGCTCAGATGAAGGATATACCTACACCACCTGCCATGAGAAAGCAGAACAGGCCAGAACAACTGAAAGTAGTGAAGAGATCAGAAGTTTTATGGAATTGCATGGTCATTCTATGGTAGATCTTGAAAGCCACGCCAGGATAAGAAGCCAGACAGAGGGCTGGGGATGTGGAGTAGTGGTAAAAACACTGTCTGTCATGTACGTAGGATCTATACCTAGAACTGCATGAACTCAGAGTTAAAGCAGTATGTCCCAAATGGAAGAACTGAGAATGGACAAAAAGGAAGTTGGAAAATCCTTATGTAAAAGAAAGAATAAACAATAATAAAAGAGTTTGGCCTTCCAGCCATGGTGACACATTTCTATAATCCCAGCATGAGGCTGCAAGTGTCAGAAGGAACAAGAGCTCAAGACAAGCATGGGTTACATATTGTGTTTCGGGTCATCATAAGCTACAAAGCCAGACCTTGCCTCAAAACCAAAATCAGAATTGACCCTTTGTCCCATAGCTAGCCAAATGTTTAGAAAAAGAGTTCATGTAAATTGAAGAGGAAATAGCTGAGTTCTGCAGGCACGCACGAGTAGATGAATACCTAGGTAGAGGCTGGTCCAATTCTTCATGGTCCTGGAAGGCTGCGTGAAGTACCTCAGCTACTCTGCTATCCACTTTCTGTTTACTCTGATTTTAATATTGTGGTAGTACCCATAAGTTATCATTTTTCTTAACATAAGCAGAAAATACAAGTTTCAAAGACCACATAATAGACAGGTGCTAGGGCTCATTCATGCCTGTACTGCCAGCTACTCAGGGAGCTAAGATCTGAGAATCCAGCCAGAGCAGGAAAGTCTGTGAGGCTCTTATCTCCAGTTAACTAGCAGAAAACCAAAAGCAGAGGTGTAACTCAAGTGGTACAGTGCTAGCTTTGAGGGGAAAAAAGCTAAGGCCCTGAATTCAAATCTCAGTATTGGCATACACACACACACACACACACACACACACACACACACACACACACACACAC